AAACAGTGTCAGATCTAAAATGATGTTCAATATCGTGCTTGATTTTGCCGTTGGTCTCATACCATTCGCTGGAGATCTTGTCGATGCAGTTTTCCGCGCCAATACCAGAAATGCGCTCGAGCTTGAAAGACATTTGCGTGACAAAGGTGCGAAAATATTGAAGGCAAGAGGCGAAAGGTTACCTACCATTGACGTTACCGATCCGCATGAATTCGATCTTTACGATCAGGAACTCTCAGATGAAGAACCTCCACGATATACAGCCAGAGCAAACGCAGAAACCGTCAGTCCTCGTGAGCCAGGTGGACGTAATCGTCACAGTTGGTTCGGATATGGCAGTAGCGCACCCATAGAGCGAACGACACAACCCGATCCCGAACAAGGACGTCGTGCCAATAGATCAGAGCGAATAAGACAACCTGATGTCGATCAAAGTCGACGCGATAGAACAGACGCGCAGGATCCTCCACTTCCAGCTCGCCCTCAGAAGGTTAGAAAGAGTGGTAGACGTTAAAGGAATTGTGATTGCTATTTTGAGTTTGAAGGATGTTCCAGAAACGTTACATATTTGAAGCCTCCCGGAAAGGTTCTAGGATGGATCGATTTTTTAATGCCGACACGATTCCCTTTGTTTGTTCAGTAATTGATGACGCCTTGGTTTGTAAGTAACAAGAAAACAGATTTGGTTTAGGCGCGAGGGCTTTAGATGTAATATAAGATACCATACCATAGATGCATTTTAATCTCCACATCGTATTCCATTGAAGCCTATTCAAATCCAGATGTTCTGAATCATCATGACTGATTTTACTCCACCCATTATCAAGACTTCCACCAATACTGCACGCGTTACCGTGGTTTCCTATTGATCATCAGGGATTAAGATCTGATAAGTTTGCTTGGCATTTATGGGAGCTCAATTGAATGAGCTGAATGGTTGATCAAGTGGAATAAGTGGTTCGGTGATCAATGTACATTGCGTTGCAAATTTCCCAGCCTTTTTTTCAACGCGAACGCGAAACTTAGCGCGTTGATTATTTAGGCACGTGACGCGTACTGAAAAGCTCTTAAGAACGCGGTTTCTCTTGTTCATCCTCGGACTCATTCACACACACATACATACTTTGTATTCAATAGAACATATAAAGTCAAACAACTTCTCGACCTCTTTCTTCTTTAAGTATTCCACATACATTAATCAAATCCTGATTTACGTTCAATCTATTAAATCACAATGAGTCTCCAAGAAACCCCTTCAAAGACTGTACGTTTTCACGCGCCACCCCTCTATTTATCATTTCCCCTCATTTTCTTTATTTCACGCGTCAACAATATACTGACTTGTAACTTGTACAGGCTGCCTCTGGTATCGAAAACATGAAGATGGAATCACCTGTCAAAAAAATCAACTTTGCTGGAAAGGAGAATTCAGCATTTGATGCTGACGCGCCAATTTTCGAAGAAGTCAAGAAGCCAATTGTCGAAGAACAAAAGGTTGTTGCAGTTGCTCCAGGAATCAAGCCAGAAGAAGCAGATGAGCCTCTTCTTCAAGAAAACCCAAACCGTTTCGTGCTCTTCCCCATCAAGTACCATGAGGTAAGTCGCGTCTATCTCTTCACGTGTTTGCGCGTACAGTGCTAACATAATTGCGAACAGATCTGGCAAATGTACAAGAAGGCAGAGGCATCTTTCTGGACCGCAGAAGAGATTGATTTGTCAAAGGATCTTCACGACTGGAATGAGAGACTCAATGACGACGAGCGTTACTTCATTTCCCACGTCCTCGCATTCTTCGCAGCATCCGATGGAATTGTCAACGAGAACTTGGTTGAGAGATTCAGTGGTGAAGTTCAAATCCCAGAGGCTAGATGCTTTTATGGTTTCCAAATCATGATGGAGAACATCCACTCCGAAACATACTCCCTTCTCATCGACACATACATCAAGGAGCAATCCCAAAAGACATATCTTTTCAACGCCATTGAGACCAGTAAGTTACAACCATTCCCACTTCACATGTGGTATCCCATCTAACATCCTTGATAGTTCCTTGTATTAAGAAGAAGGCCGACTGGGCTGTCAAGTGGATTCAAGACAAGAACTCTACCTTTGCTCAACGTCTCGTCGCTTTCGCTGCCGTTGAAGGTATCTTCTTCTCTGGATCCTTCGCTTCCATCTTCTGGCTCAAGAAGCGTGGTCTCATGGCTGGTCTCACCTTCTCCAACGAACTCATCTCCCGTGATGAGGGTCTTCACACCGATTTCGCATGCCTCCTTTTCTCCCATCTCAAGCACCGCCCATCCAAGCAAGCCGTCCAAGACGTTATCACCGAGGCTGTTGAGATTGAACAAGAATTCTTGACCGAGGCTCTTCCTTGTGCTCTCTTGGGCATGAACTCCAACCTCATGAAGCAATACATCGAGTTCGTTGCTGATCGTCTCCTCCTTTCTTTGGGTAACGACAAATACTACAAATCTGCCAACCCATTCGACTTCATGGAGAACATCTCCTTGGCTGGCAAGACCAACTTCTTCGAGAAGAGAGTTGGTGATTACCAAAAGGCTGGTGTTATGGCCGGTACCCAAAAGAAACACGAGGATACTGAGGCTCAAACCGAAGCCAAGGCAGAGAACGGAGGAGACTTCAACTTTGACGAAGACTTCTAGATGTTGTCTTCCAAGTTACCTCTTTTCTTTTTCTTTTGATGTCAAGATAATTGGCTTGGCGTTCACCTTTGTACAACTCTTCACTTCTACACGGGGCTTGCATACATAGATGTGTTGCGGGTTGGTGGTTTGTACAAATAATTCTTTAAATGAAGGAGTTGTGGTGTTGGGAAAACTTTGGGTTGGCGGCGGGCATGAAAATGAATTTTTATAACAAATGTCATTTGGACATAGATGAGGGACTGATAGGGATATCATGGTGGGAGTATACCATGATGGGATGGATGGATAGGATAAATGACGATATAACTAGTTAGCGTTAACGAATACACTTTTTTCACTCACATGAGGATTTCATTTGCGCTTGCTGTGGTTGAACCGATTCTCACCGGTTTTGCATCTGACTGGCTTTTGTATGATTTTCCTGAATAGTTTTTGGGATATCTAGAGAGATATCGACAAGACGCGCATGTATATTTTCTATGACCATAATTCCACTGCAATCCTTGCCATGCGGATTTACATAGTATGCCTACCTACTGCACACACTAACACAACTTAATCCATAATATGTACAGGTTTTCATCTCAACCCTCCAAATTTCCCCAAAGAGCGAGAAAGGATCCATTGGCGATATAATGGTAACTACTACTGTGATGCAATGCGTGAATTTCATCTCTGTCGAGAAGAGAAGTTGCAAGAAGAATGTGCAGACCTTTTACTAAATCCATCAATTACACCTGAATCCTCTTCATCTTGCTCATCTCCTTTATCCCGCTGAACGATGTAATCCTCAATCAACAATTCATTTCTTCCCCTTCTTTTTCTTTCCCTTTCCACCTTGCGATTGCGTCTGTGTTTGCGCTTGTCCCTTTCCCACATCCTTCTTCTCATCTACTTCCTCCTCCGCCGGCGCCTCAGCCAAATTGATCTCTCCTAGTCCCTCTTTCTCCTCCGTCTCGGGTAATCCGCACATGAGCTTTCCGAGTCGTCCCATGATTTGTATGAGGCGCGATACTTCTGCAGCTTTGTTGGTGGTGTATTTGAGGTTGACGCCGGAGTGGGGATTGAAGGTTGTGAGGGTGAGGGTACCGCGGGGTTGGGATTCTGGTTTTGCGGAGGTGGAGGACTGGGTGGAGCTCGGTTTGGGTAGGCGCGGTTTGGTGGCTGTGGAGTTGGTGGTGGAGGGGGCGTGGGGGGAGGAAGGTGCGTGCAGGAGGGTGTATTTGGTTGTTATGCGGGTCTACCAGAGAGAGAGACAGAGAGAGAGAGTTAGCCTGGTTGATTTGATAGCAGGGAAAGAATTGCGAGGAAGAGGGGGACACGTACGGTAGTAGGATGTGCTTTTAACAGCAGCGAAGATTGTGTGAGCCATTCTTGGGCAGTATCTAAATGTGGCATTTTGTTTTTTTCTTTGCAATGATGGACGCTGAGATCGAATGTATGTATATGTGGTTGGTTGAATAGATTGGTTGGTGAGTGGTAAATCTTGGTGGATTGGCGCAAGTTGAGACCAACCTTGGAAATCGTAGGAGCTTGAAATTGATGAGCGAATCTTAATTGATCAGATGTTAATAAGTTCAGTTCAGGTGTTCCTTAGCGTGAATGCGGGGTCAAGCGAGGATGTGAGGCTCTACAGGCCGGAGATTTACCGATGGCATTCTCAAATTGAGTGTGTGTGTGTGTGTTTTATGAGACTTCACTCAAGTTTTGGGTATCATGAAAGAGGACATTGAGATGGAAAATAATGTCACACTGGCATTTCCAAGTAGGAATAAGAGGTATGGGAAGTCATTTGAATTATGAGCAAATACATGAAGAATGCTTCATGCTATGCCAAACTATCAAATCAGAACTTCAATTGCTCAATGAAGCCATCAATATTGTATGACCAAATACCCAGATGGTTTTGAAATAGAGCTTCTAGTGGATCATGGGTAAATGATTATATAATACCATGGTTGAGATAGTTTCTTATGAGTGCAGAAGCAGCTCGAGAGGTTGTTTCAATGCCCATACTTCTATTGTACGCGGAACCTTTTCATTACTGAACACTCGATGAAAGAGAAAATGGATAGCTGTATTCGGGTGAATAGACACTTTATCAATTCGATATATCTCATTATGGACTAAGCTCTGGATTTATCTATTTATATTCTTCGCTTTTGCAAATACTTCTTAGAAATACACGTAGTACAGCGTTGGGCGAATCGCCCTCCTGTTCACACTGCAAAATCATCACTTGTCACATCATTTCGATGACTTTTTCGTTCTAATTTAATTCATTTGTTTTATGAAATCACCCTCTCTTTATCACTCTCAACTGCTATAGACATGCCTACAGCAAAGAAAGCAAAAGTTTCAAAGTCGAATGGTGAGGAGAAGCCCAAAGTCGACGTCCCAAAAGGCAGCAAATTGGCGCAGAAAACACCGGATGCTAGTTCTGCCATTGAACCTGACGTGCAGATAGACGTATCTACCCCACCTCCTGTATTGCATCAACTTCTTCAGTGCTTTTCTGAGGAACAAATCGCACTGGTGTTGTCAATTTTGAAAGCAAAGCCAGATGAGATATCCATCAAAGGTACGACTAGCAATATTCCACCATAGATTATACTGAACCGATTTAGATTACTTGAATGAGTTACGAGAATCCATCAAAAATGAAGAATCACGAAGCAATCGTATAGTTGATTCAGGGGAGTTTTGGAAACGACAGTTTGAAAGTGAGCGTGTTCTTACAGAAAAACTACAGACTCGCGTCGGAAGTCTACAGAAGAGATTACAACGCTGTCGTACGCCATCCATGAGATCTTCATTTGCAGATTCTGAAGAAGAGGAGATCCCGAATATCGCCCCGCGCTCCTCTGAGTCTCATGAGGTCCAAACTTTGGAGCCCGCCAAACAGAAGAAAAGAAGAAGATATGAGAGTCTAGATACTATCCCGAATGAGGACGATGAGATGGGAACCGATTCATTGGCTTTGGGCTATGATCATGATAGTATGATGGTTACCACTTATTGTAGGTCACAATACTTTCTTCTCTTGGGTTTTTGTGTCAAGTCGTCTTGTTACTTACTTGCATACTTACACAAATTCCTGCAGTATATGAAATCACGAAATTCCGTCGATCTCTTCACGATGAATCAGCGATCACCCCGTGTCGCAAGCTTATAGAATTGAGTTGGAAGGCAATCTCCGACTGCCTGCCCAAATATATCGATGTCAGAGAAACAAACTACCATACGAAAGTTATCAAATGCCTAGCGCATCTTATGAGCGAGATCGTTGAGTGCCATAAGAGCTGCGTTGAGGTTTCAACTGAGCATTACAAAACCATCGTGGGAAGGGAGCTGGTGAGGAAATCAAATGTTATATATTCATTATGCTCTTTCTTCGATAAAACGTTGAGCGAGATGCACAGGCTGTGCAGTGCGAAAGCCAAACTTCCGATACGTTCAGGCGACTCGAAATCAGACCCAGTCAAAGTTTCTGTGGGTAATGGCGAACCAATGATGATCCGCTTCATTGCCAACCTGTTGATTGGCATTCTTAGAAAAATCAATTGGCAGCAAAATAATGACTTGCATAAACAGATATTTGAAGGCACACTCGCAACCATACTCGATCACACCGGTAAAATGCTCTCCGACATCATATTCAGGGAAAATGTTGCTGCTTCCAGATTACCAGGAAACATTAGTTCTGGGGAACCTTCTCTTCAGTTGTCGAAAAACGAGTCCGCTTTGAAGTCTAAATACCTTATTCACATACTTGAGATGGCACTCAAAATCCAAAAGGAAAAGATGGGTACTGGAACAACCGAAGAACTTCTGAAGAAAGCCAAAAGGAAAATCCAGAACACTCTTAAAAATAGCATAATTGGAGGAGGCTTGTTGGGGTTGAAGATTCCGGACCACATTGATGAGGAACCAATAGATATCCCGGAATTAGAAGGGTTGGAGATGTATGGGGAAGAGTGGACTGTACAATGCGTGTTTACTATGGTAGAGATAGATGAGGATGAGGATATTAAGGGAGTGGGAGGAGTAGAGAGGCAGTTGTAGGTTGAGATGGTGCAGGTTGAGATCTTGGGATCGGGAGCTGAACTTGCTGAGGTTTAGATGAACAAATAGTGGCAATTGGGAATGGGAAAATATGAGGGCATTTAAATAACAAGAGCTGGATTTAGAGAAGAATATTTGGCCTGTGCGTTTGTGCTGGGCTATATATAGGTTGGATCTGAGATATCATACGGAGACTTCTGGAATTATGTCTTGCTAACACTGTGGAACATTTCTAGAAGAAAAAAATGTTCATGATAGTTTGGCGAATTATTCGGAAGACTTGTCAATAGATTTGTATGAACATGATGTAGTATTGTGCTGTGATATTGTTGTGTACGATGTACAATAACCAAGTATTGAATAGTATCAAGTTCAAGAAGATTGCATCCATTGAGTGGTAAATGATAGATAAATAAAAACCATACGCATATTTATCTGAAGAATGAGCTGGAAAACAAACCCCCCCCAAAACCGAACCTACTCCCCAGCACTCCGAAGTTCATCTAGACCCCATTACAGAGCGCACGCCCATCCGGTCCAACCATAACCTATCCAGTCCATTGCATTGCCGTGTATTGCATTCGCCCTCGCAATCCGAAAGCTCCTAAAATTCGTCGATGCGTGTCATGTCATATCATATCATATTACGCAATAAACAAGATTCGTTCCGATCCGATCCATCCAGTCCATCCATGTCCCTACCCATTCTGTTATACCCAGCCCAATCCATGTCCGTTGTATCCTAACTCCTCAAAAGAAACGCCTCAATTCCCAGCCCTTCCGGCTCTCTTAGCAGCAACTCTAGCTTCCTTTCTTGCTATGCTAGCAGCAACTCTAGCCTCCTTCTTTGCTATCCTAGCAGCTTGTCTAGCTTCTTTCTTTGCAGCTTTCTCCTCCTTTCTTAAGGCCATTTTTTCCTTCCACGCCTGAATTCTTGTCTTCTCTGGCTTCTGCGCAAGTTTAGCTTCAAGCTTTTGTGTCACTGCAGCTTTCTTACTCATAGCCACTGCAGCTTTACGTTCATATTCATCTGCCTCTCCACTCTTTCCTTGCATCTTCAACCACAGAGACTTAGACCTGATTTGTGCCTTTAGAATTCCCTCATCTAACGGTTTTCCTATGTTTTGTAAGGAGTGCAATTGGTCCGCGATAGTCTTCTCCACACCTGCAAATTGCGAACCAAGTTCAACTGTAATGCGAGCACTGCGTTTGGCAGCCTCAAGAGTCATATCTCTCGCTGCATCTGTAAGCTGAGCAGTGATTGATGACGCTCGCTCGAGAGCTTGACGTTTGGCTTCGTCGATATTGGCGAGTTTCGACTGGGAAGATTGGCGCACATCTTTGAGAACCTTCTCAGCAGCGGCGCGAACATCTGCGAGTGTTTGGCCATCAGCAATAACAGTATCCTCCTTGAAGAATGTGTAAAATCTATCCACGACATCTTGCATGGCTTGGAGAGAATTGCTTCCAAAATCAACTTGGAAGGTCTCGTTGATGCGTGGCTTCTTGGTGGTAATAATCGAGATATTGAGGATTCCGTGAGCCTCCTTCTTAGGAATCAATAATACAATCCCATCACTTGAGCTAAATGCACGCTCCGTATCGACTGTAGTATTACCCCTAGTAATGTTGATCGACATTGCCAACTTGGTGAGCCAGCTAAGCTTCATTGCCTTGGGAATTCGAATCAAAACTTCTCTATCTCCCATAATTTCCGCTACACAGGAACTACACTTGCTTTCTGATTTGGACTTCTGTTGTTGGGCGTGTGTAGGCTTTGAAAAGTCTACTTGAGGTTTTGAAAGCCCGTTCGGGGGCGATGACTGTACAACGGAAGGTGTTGAAGTAAGGCTGGCTTGAGTTGCAGAAAGATTAGTCGCAAATGGGACTGATGTTGGAGTTATCGGGCCCGCTGACATGGTTTTGCTATTTATAGAAATTGCTGGGTGGTTATAAAAAGGATAGGGCGAAAGGCTGGACGTCAAAATGGCAGTTAACACGCTCAGGATGAGCAAACCAAATGGAAGTAAAGATCTCCACTCCGCTAAGTAACGGGACCATTCTTGTTTGGCTGGTTTCTCTCGATTCGCAGGAATCGTATAGGAACCAAGATTCTTGATAACACTAGAGGAACCTGCAGGCTCGTGGAGACCGGTCAAGTAGGCAAGATTTCTGTTCATCTGCCTAGCATCGATATTCAAGAAAGACGTAAGATCTATTGGTAAACGTTGGTGAATTGCGCTTCCTCTGCCATTTGTCTCCCGGGATTCTAAGCATATATGAATAGAATGTTGATCTAGAGACATACATTGAGCCTTGTTCAATAATTGCTTGTGTGAGATAACAATTGATGGTATGGTATGACGACTCATGAACTTTCTGGCAATTGTCCTTGTACGTCTTGCTTGTATATCGTCGCTATCAGAACAGTAAAATATTGCCACATGTGGTAGCTCCCATTCTGGCTCAACAATAAAGTGATCTCTCTCTGGAACAGAATGGTAGCTGTAGTGATCCTCGAGATTTAACTTGATAACATCTGGCTTTTGTGGTTGATCCTCGAATTCAAGGGTTTGAGCAGACAAACAATCATCAACCTTGATTTGGTAACCAGACGAGTGCATGAGTTCGATTTCCGGTGTTTTCTCCGAGCCAAAAGCAGATACAGGCACGACATTGTATATTTGAGATGAGTTTCGACTTGAACGCTCTTGGCCTTCGACGGAAGCAGTGACAGAGCTTGCAATCTTGTGAATGATATCTTGTTTTGCAGAGTGGCTGCCTACATAGAGGATGCGGAGTGGGTCTTTGGTGGATAAACCATGCTTGGTCATCGTTTGTCGAATTGTAAGAATTAATTGACTAGGTGGATTTTGCATGTTCAAATCTCTTGCGGAAGCAGCAGTTTGTTCTTCGGTGAACTCTGCCACTGTATGTTTGACTGATACATTCTCGGCTCCAAGGCTACCAAATGGTTCTTCAAACTCGATAGATTGTGAGAGCGGGGTATCAGAATCGTCATGCAAGACAGCAGAATTTCGACCGATGGTAGGATTATTGAAAGAATTATTGATCGAGTTATCCAAACCAAAAGCAGGAATGGAGGAACCGTGTGTGTATTGATCCCCACTCTCATCACTATTCTCCGTATCTGCAAGGCTCTGCATGTCGTCAGGACGACCAAATTCCACTGAAGCTATCGACTCGGTAGCATTCTCATCATGGCTCTCATCATCTGTATCGACAAACTCATAAGTCGACTCGGAGAGGTGACTTTCGTCAGATGGGGACTCGCTGAGGGTCGACATGTTGTTGTTGTTGTTGGAAGTTTGGGTTTCGACCCAAGTAGTTATTCTGGTATCGATAGACGGAGTAGGAAATCGAAAATCGTTGGAATGTTCCTCAGGATTTCGAGATGTCAAATCTAGAGACGGGAGTCCGCTGGATGACTCCATGTCATTAGCTTTTACGATATTATACGGCAACACAAATCTCGACAGAATAGTATGTGAAAGAAGTGAAATGTGAATGAACGTGAGGGAGGTTGAATGAGCAGCTTTTAAGAATATGGGTAAATAACAAAGTCGACAGGAGGAAGAGGAAGAGGAAGAGGGAGGAAGAAAGAAAGAAAGAGGGAAAGTCCTACTTCTTATTAATCTGACCTTGATTAAGGTAAAGGATCCCCGAATTTGAATTTCTATGGAGAAAGTACACCGAGTGCCGTAGAACAATACTGGGGAGCAAGAAAGTGGGAGGAGTTAATTAGCTTTAGTACTTGCCGAATCGTTTGCCTATTGGCAAATCGAGGTAGCCCGGGCTTTTGGTTGACCGTAGAGATAGGCAGGCAAGGGAATCAGTTTAGGTTTTGGATACTGAAATACGATCAATGTGGTATTCCCCAATAATGTATGATGGTAAAATTCATGAAGATTTTTGTGTTGCAGCTCGTACCAAACATGCACGATGTCTCTTTGAAGGAGGAGTCTTCTCTTTTGCTGGAATGAATGGTGGTTGTGTTTGAATTACATACAAGACGAAGGCGGGCAGGTTTATCTCGTTATGATGGATTTTGGACTGATTGGGTGAGACTCACTAGTGTCAATGCGGGGTACCCTTATATCCTTCATACATCTTTATATACTTCCGAACCTCTATGCATACTAGGATTGTGTGGTATGTGTGGTATGTGCCCAAGCTTTTTGGGTGGTTATGGTTGTATATTGGGTTACGATAAGATCGTCATAATAAATCCGTATAATACAATCATTTCAAGGGAATTATGGTAAGAGAATTATTACTTGGTCTCTCTACCTAGGCAGGCATCATTCATCCATCCTTTCTTCACTTATTTCACTTCACTTCACTTCACTTCACTTCACTTCACTTCACTTCACTTCACTCATCAAGAACCTCAAATATATCCGTGCTCACATGCTTCATACCTATTTGGTAATTCTATGTTTGATATTCACATCCACTATTGATTCAGAATACATCTTCAAATCTCACCTATGTGACATACTTAAGGACCTACCTATTTACCTACCTATCTACCTACCTCCTCACTACACACTTATATATCAGAATGAATTCTTACTACCTACATACCTATCGGTCGATACTTTTACTCTACCAAAATATCAGTATAACTAAAATCAATCTCCCAAGGTTCTCTCTTTCCCAACTACCCTCGAGCTACCCTCCTTCAGCTACCTCAGCTACCTATCTAGAACCAGTCATTCTCAACCACTACCTCTTGTTAATCTCCTTCATATCAGTGGGTCTTTCGGAACATACATGAACTTATATTCATCATCTGATTCACATTCAAACCCAAATATTGATGGATCCATATATACGGACCTATTATCCTCTAATAAGAACAAGAGAATATATTGACTTCTTATCGTCCGAACTTGCGAGGCTGAGTATCTACCTACCTCTCTCCAAGACCTTCCTTCTTGAGTAATCGATGATGTATTCAAAATGTCTAAAATCTCCATCTATGAAAGAAAGTTCAATAACATCATTACCAGCTATTCCTTCCATCATACAAGTGTCTCTCCTTTCCCTCCCCAGATAGATGTTATATCTTCAACTTGCATACCCCCATTCTCAAGACCCTTCCTTCCTTCTACCCCACTATGCATCAGCCCCCCCGCCACCACACCAGTACACATCGAGGCTTATTAATCTATTCTTAAATGATTTTCGCTGCACGGGCCCAAGTCTGATTAACCTTATAAGATTCCAAAACTGTATTAACGTAGTTTATTAGTGGGTCGGTCATATCAGTGGATCGGCTACTTTTACCTCGAATTATCACTCTAAAGCTATATTATTCAATAATAACTAAATCAATTGATTAAAATTATTAAGAGTTTAATAATCTAGGATCTATTATATTATTTTGATAGGTTTTTGTATTATAATCTGTCTTTTCGTATTTACTATAATATTAATTAGAAAATGCTTCCTCATTAGAATTTCCTTTTTTTTAATGTTTATTATATTAAATCTGAATATCAATTTCTTATTAAGATAATATATTAAGAACCTTTTATCTAATGAATACTCCTTCTTAATGTAATTAGGTTTTTTATATATATCAATATTTACTTAATACTTCATTTACTACTTGAAGTATACAATTCTCTATATTTAAAAGTATATTTTCATAAGCTAATCTTTTTATACTCTTAGTTAAAATTAATATAATCTTAAATATAAATATAGGGGAGCTTACTTGATAATAAGTTATTTGAGATTTAATTAATATTAATTAAGAAAAAGCTTCAATTGAATTATAAGGGGTTTAAGAGATTCATTGATTTAAATCGAAAGAGGGGAGGGTAGGTATACAAATTCGAATATCTAATTTTGAGAATACAGTTTTAAGATTAAATGGAATTAAACCTGTTCCTCAAAATCCTGATTTTATATTCTAAAAGATAATTGATTCCTTATATATAGTTTTAAAAGCTATAAAGAATTCAATCTTCGAAATATGATTGATATATGCCTTAATAAATCCATCAATTTAATTATCATATAAAAGTTTTAGATTATTAAAACAACTAATATCAAGTGATTAAGTTAAATGATTTAAATGTAATAGTAAATATAAACATATAATATTATTCTCTTTATAGTATGCTTGAAAAACTATTGATTTATAGCTTTTATGTCTATCCAGCATTAATATTCGATATTTGCTCTTTCTTTGATTCTTAGTATGTTTATTAAAGTATTTCAATCATTTTAAATCTGTCTCATTGTTTGTCCACCTATTAGATATAGATTTAATAGCTCATTCTGTAGGAAGATCGGTTTCGATATATTAATTAAAGAAATGGACCTATCTTTGAATTATTAGAAATAGGGGAATAGTTTTGTTCTTTTCATTTCCATATATTATTGCTATAGCTCATTCTCGATTACCTAACTGTATAGATTTACTTTTATTGTATTTCTCAGTACTAGTAATAATCATTACTGTGTATATAATTCCTATTATAAAGCCTATTTCATCGAAATTATAGAAATCTCTATTCAAAATGTTGTATTTCATTCGTATATTTGCAATTAATTAAAACTACTCTTTAATAAGCTTAGGATCCTTGTAGAGAGCTCTTTGAAAGTTATAAACACAATTAAAACATATCTTTAATTCGATTCGACACTTTATAAATCAATATGCCTAGAGCTTTTTGATATGTTTCGCATCTTTTGATTTAAGAATATAATTCGCTATATCTTCTACATTCTTGAGTTTAGATAGAAAACCTTTCAAATCCATATCAAGAATATATTGAATAAGTACCTCCTCTTCTAATTCAATCAAATTATGACTTTTTGATCGACTCTCAGCCATATTAGGTTTACCTCGAATTCTATTACCCAATATAGTTCGAGGTATATAATAAAGCTGAGCTGCCTTTCGAATTGATAATTTTTTATCTAATTCAATAGCTTGAATAGCTAAGATTATGCGTGCTTCTTTAGAATGAATTTTCATAATTAATTATAAAGAAAACGCGTGTTGAATATAGAATAATAATTCGAGGTAAAAGTGGCCGATCCACTGATATGGCCGACCCACTGATAAACTACGTTAGACAAAATCATAATTTACTTCATCACTAGCATCGTTGCAATATTAATTGAGAGAACAAAAATTCACAAAATCTCTCTGTCTGAACAATCAACGAAACTTGCTCACCTCTCTCCTCTCGAGTCAGGTCAATGTATAGCATCCAGACGATCGCCAAGTCGGCTTCGATCTGAGCTTCGAAGAGACACAGAGAAGTTCCATGTATATGCTGTGCGGGAGTAAATCATCCTTTGTTTAGATAAGATACTTTGATGTTTAGTAGATTCTCTGCTTGATCTGGGCGCTGGAGTTAATGAAAGCTATCTCCTCCGATGATGGTTGTGGAAAGATTGGCGGCTGGACGAACCGCCAGTCCCACCACCGACTTCCAAAAAATGCACTGGACTTAATCCAGTCTTTCCATTCTTCAATAGCTTCAATATGAATGCGCTGAGCATAGTGGCGGCAGTGGTAAACATCGGGGCGCTGGTGTACACGTTTTCGAGTGATTTCTTATTGAATTTTCTACCAAAGATCAAACACAAAGAATCCTCACTCCCAGTGAGGCATTCTTCTACCCTTGAAAACATCATTCTCAAAGATTGTGTTCGAGGCATGATCTGAACTCGAATAAAAGCCGCGTGTGTATTGCCATGGAAAGAGTCGCATCCACTTTTTGATGTTCTTAGGAATCTTCCTGACGGACTCATCGTTGTGAGGTTCGCGTCTTCCACGATTCCGTATGTCTGTATCGTCACCCTTTCGTGTACACAATTATACGAGATCTTCTCGAGCGGTTGGCCTGGACCGAAAGATGTTAGCGAACAGCTCAATGTCTCAACCACATAAGCAGTCACAAGTTGGGTTTGCCGTACACACACTTGAGAATAAAACCTAGTTTGCTTTGCCACACTTTTATACCGCTCATAGTCATTTTCCACTTTTGCGAAGCACCTCAAAATATCGAGGAGAGGAATATCATCTTGCGGAGCTTTTACCTCCTGAAGAGAACCTTGGTATAAATTTTGGAGATTTCTCGGTTTGTCCAATTCATCGCGATTCGCGCTAGAGTTGTAAAACAAATTATTTGGCAGCTTAATCTTGATGTCGTTTCCTAGAATTCTGAAAGTTAGCTTCGCGTGGTTAAAGTTTACCAAACTACCAAATTCGTCCTTTATGTTGGATTGTACTTCCATACCAATCAAAAAGTCGATTTGCCTCGTCGAGGTTTAGACTTAATGGTGCAAATTCTGGAAAAATTAAGTGCTCCGAAAGTAATTTTTCTTCGGAGCAATTTTTCAAGACGCTCTGCATAGCTCTATGAGCAGGTACAGTTTGGGGTTTAAAATATGGCTTTTTACAATCTGGACTCGCCGTCTCAAATTCCTTGGATTCGTCGGAAAAATAACCATTATCATTCGATGAAGACTCACTATCACACCTCGTCACTCTATACAAGTATTCTGACCACGAAATGATGGTCGTGAACGATGAAATTTTTCTAGCGATATTCTGACACCGATTTCCTCATTGACATCTACCAGTAGCTCGCTTGTCAATAAGTATTCTATCCCGAGGTCTTGTAGACGCAAGATCCTCTGTATTTCTTAAGCTGATATACACAGCAATATACCCAATACTCTCCTCGCATCTCAAAAGTTCCAACTACATTCATTAGGTGTTGAGCTGAAACCTCGATTTATACACCTCCCGACACGGCCTCGGCCACTGTATTTGTGAATACTATAATTAGCAGTCTGAATCAGATCATGACAACATGTTGCTGGTATGCACTACAACCTCGTGCCGTTTGAGAAAATGATATTCTTCGAGATAATAATGGTGTTTACCTACCTCCATATCTATTCCCATTTCACGAACTCTGGGAGATTTGAAATTAGTTTAAGTATTAGAGATGATATTGCTCTGATGTTTATGATTCCAGTCTTCATTGCCGAAAATTTGGGTCGTCAAGTTCACAGGTTTGATATTGTAGAAAGGTACTATGGGGCATATTGTACGTCTCGACGCAGGTAGGTAATAAGATCTCTAATATCATGATTCATCACATGGGTTATTTTGGATTCTTCGAGAATACTAGTTACGTGAACAAAGGGTGAATGAATGGCCTTAAGTCATTCATAACCTATTACAAAGAAGCTAGTTCTACACCAAGTCCTATGTAAGGGTTGCTTCTTTCTGTACACAGCTAGCTTCCTTGGATTGAATAACACATTCACAACTAGAACCTACATCGTAGGTTATACGTCATACGTATTCTCCTCAAACCAATACTAGTATATCTTTGGCTTAATGAAGTTTTCTGGACTGTTCGCTTCGTTTCTTTGGTTTGATACTTTGTACTGGAAGATCTCTCGCTTGGATAGAGTAAGAAGCTGAGCTCGATAATTGAACAGACTCAGAACCTTAGCTCTTCGCTTTCTTTTCCAATATTCTGCGCTCATTCCCCGTCCTTCGATCTCCACACTCACTAATCACAATGACATACAAGGGCGTGTTTTTGAAGACGGCCTGGGTCCGTGCGCAAGCCGTTTTTACTACCAAAATTGACTTATTTAGAATTCAATATCAAATTCAATTAATATTATTATATATTTCAGGTTTTATATATGTAGATTCTAATATAAAGGTTTATGCTACAATTTTAGATTTTCTATAAAATCTTTTGATTTGATTAAAATTCATACAGAACTATTAATATCTAAAATTATTATCAAAAGTAATACTTATTTTAAGAATTAAAATTCCATATAGAATTTATCAACTTTTATAATATATAAATTAATACTTTTAATATACAAATTATTATTTATTAAATCTTTACAATTTTGTTATATTTTATAACTTTATAATCATTATTTGAATTGATTTATATTTATAATCTCAGTCGTAGTGCCCGCCTACCCTGCTTCATTTTAACTTTCTAGCCTTCTTTGGGAATCTCGTTTTCACAAGTGAAAACGAGATTTCTGATACGTTGCAAACTTATCCTTTACTTGGCGTTAAGCATGGCGCAAGAGTTACGCTCCTTATATGATTGGGGCAATCAACGCCATATTCTCCCTATAGTGATGCTAATGTTGATCGACTTGAGTAGTAGCAGATGCCGTAGCTGAATGGGTTGTATTGGGCGAAGGAGCTCGAGTGGTAAGAATCGCATAAGCATCAATAGCGCATTCAGCAAGTGGTGGTAGATCAATAGTGTGACACTTTGCCGTAGAAGAACTGCGAGAGCAGGGTACAATTTATCTTTAGAATCTACAACTATAGAATTGAGAGCAAAGCGTTTGTGGAGTGTACCTATATACTAGCTATATAAATCGACCACCCTACTTTCAGGCTACTTTTATTTTGAACCGCCCTTTTATATCAAAAATCGTTTTTTTAGCCTATTAATATTTTTATTAATATATAATCTAATTTAATAGAAATTTGAATATATATAATTTAAGTCATTTCAAGTTTATTCTAAAAAATTTAGATTTTTGGGAATTTTTTATATTAAGATTTAAAGCTTTAAAATATCGATTTTTTTAATTTCTATATAAATTTAAGTTACAAACTATATATCTTTTTGAAAGTTTTGAATTTAAATCTATATAGAAATTAAAAAAAATTAAAAAAAATTAATAGATATAGAGATATAGTATATAATAAGTTTAAAATAATATAAATAATCCCTATAATTTTAAGGGCATTCTTTTAAATATTTATTTATAGGAAATTTTCTTTTTTTTTCTAAATCCTTTAAAAAAAAATATTATAAATTTATAATAAAGTTTTATAATTTATTTTTAATAATTTTTATTAAAAAGTTATTAAAGATTTTATAAAAGTTTCAAATTTATATGTAATTGTCATATAAATTTAAAAATCGATATTTTAAAGCTTTATATCTCAATATAGAAAATTCCTAAAAATCTAAAATTTTCAAAATAGGTTAAAAATAATCTAAATTATATATACATAGATTTTCAATAAATTCTATTTATAAATAAGAAAGATAAAAATTCCATTTTTAATATAAAAAGTAACCTAAAAGGGAGATGGCCCGAAAGTAGAGTACCCGACTTACATTCTTGAATTTTTTGTTCTTAAAATCCATAAATTCTTAATCTATCAAAATAAGTATATTATTTATTTATATTTTTATAATTCCGAATTAAATATCTTTTATATTAATAATAAGCAAATAAAAGTTATATAAAGTTTTTCTTAATAATATTTTTAATATATTATTTATTAATAAGTTTCTATTTTTGTAATATTATATAATAATTTTTTAATCATTATAATTATATTATTTGGATACTTATTCTAAAGTTTTTTCAAAAGTTCTATTAATATAATTTAGTTTAATAATGTTTTCGATTATATATATATTTATATAATATCTTATATTATTAACTTAATATTTATATTATAAATACTTAAGTTAAATTTAACTTTTTATTTAAATCATTATATACTTATATAACTAGATATAACTTTTTGTATAAGGAATTTATTATACATCTTTTTATTTTATTTATAAGATATAAATTGAACAATCTTTTAATATGTATAAGGAGATTATACTTAACAAATCTAAATATATTTTTATAATCAAATTATTAATTTTTTATATTTGTAAAGCTTTAAATAGTAATTTGTTTATAATAATAATCCCTTTTGTATAAAATTTTATTATAAGATTTAATACCTTTTACTTTTTCTTTATAATAAACATTTCTATTAGATCTCGATTATCTTATATAATTATAAAAAATTAATCATGTTTATTATTAATATTAATTATATAAGGTAATGAAATTTTAGGAATTTTTATTTTAAGAATTAAATATTAAATAAAAGCTTATATTAATAGTTGTCTGACTATTTATATAAAACTTTATAATTTGTAAGTTTCAGATATCGAATTCTTAGTATTTAAAGGTATTATTAAAGGTATTTCTAAAATGAATAATAATTGATTTTCTTTAAATACTTTTTCTTTATAAAATAATTTTATTATTATTATATGAAATTTTATTAAGTTATAAGGAAAATCGATTATATAATTTTGGTTAATAATTATAAATAATCTGTATAATTCTATTCAACCTTTTCTTTTTCTCTATACATATATTAACAAATTGAAAGGTAAATTAAATGTTTTATATATAATCAGATTATTTCAAATAATAAATATATTCTAAATTATTTATTTCATATAAATTTCATATACTTTTTTTATTATAAGACAATATACATTTGTTTATTTTAAAACTAATAGAGATAATAAATTGTATAATATTATTCAAGAATAAACTTTATATATAAGTGATATTAATATGAATCCATTTAGATTAGTAATATCGTTTATTATTTTTATTATTATTTATAATATTAATTTTTTATTAAGATTATTATTTTTTAATTTAGTTTTGGATATATTGTATACATATTATATTAAAGAATAATATCTTTTAATTTTTTTAATTACATTATAAACTTTGATAAGAACTTCTTAAATATTAATTTAAAGATATTTTACATTTTATCTGAATTTTTTGAATATGAAATTCATATCTATATTATATAATATATAATCTGATAAACTTAGGTATATATCAATCTAACATTTTCGAATAGTATTCTATATTGTTTTAATAGATATATTTTATACAAATACTATAATATTATATGTAATTATTTTATTAATAATATATAAAACTGAGTTTCTATTAATATAAAAAATATCAAGAATAATAGAATAATTAAATTTAATATTATTTTTAATTATAAATTTAAATCGTTTAAAGGATTTTATATGAAATTAATAATACTTATAGAATTTATTAAGTTTCTCAATTATATAAATATTAATATTATATTCTATTTGATTTAAAAGATTTACAAGTTTTAATACAAATAAATAATCAAATCTTTAATAGATTTATTAAAATTTTATCTTTATTAAATAATTATATATAATTGATTCTTCTTTTTGATTTAAAAGCATAAAAGAATATTCTTATTTTCATACAATTAAGATTATTTTATTACCTTACCTTAAGATATTTATAAGATTATTAAGTGATATATATAAATGATATATATTTTATATATATATAATAAATAATATATTTATTAGTATAATTTAAAAAATAATATTACTAAAAGATATTTTGAT